CAATTGTAATCCCCATGGGTTTCCCATCACCAAGTCACCGTGTGCTATCACCATAATCCCATGCACTTCCCTCCCCACCTCCCCATTTTTGATCCCATTCCCCACTCCACCCCCACAAAATGTCTCTGGTATATGGTTGTTCATTATTCTTGTTATTTTCTCGCCTGGTCCATTATACTCCTGCTATGAGTGAAACCATCTGGTATTTTTCTTTCTCTTTCTGGCTTATCTCACTAAGCATGATCTTTTCCAGCTCCACCCAAGTTGCTGCAAAAGACATGTGTTTTGCTTTTTTGGTTGCTGAGTAATATTCCATTGTATATATGTACCACATCTTTTTAATCCAGTCATCTGTTTTTGGGCATTTGGACTGCTTCCATGTTTTTCCAATTGTAAATAAAGCAGCAATAAACATGGGGGTGCAGGTATCTTTTTGAATCAGTGTTTTTGTGTCTTTTGGGTAGATACCTAGGAGTGGGATTGCTGGGAAGCTCCATGTTTAGCAATTTGAGGAACCAGGTGTATTAATTTTAAGAAATAGTTGTGAAGGCACTGAGAACTTGTATTAATTTTGTTTTTAAGTAGTTTTTACTAACACCTTCAGATTCGAAAACTTTCCTTAACTTTGTATTTTAAGACACGATCCTTTGAACTTACATTGTTTCCACTCAACCTCACTGAGATGGTTTTAAGACAAAAGAATAATTTCTTCATGAACCTTAATAAGGAGGGTAGGAGAAAAGATAGAGTAAAGATTTATTTTGCTGTTTCTAGACTCTTATCAGAAACCTGAAGTTTGGAATTTTGCTCACAGAAACCTACATTTTCATTCTGTATTTTTTTTGTCAAATTAATTAATTTGAATAAGAAACTTAGATTTTTTATAACAGTTTATTTTTACAGCATTTTGTACATTTTTTTTTCATCTTAATTGTAATTCCTGCGGGTTTCCCATCACCAAGTCACCCGTGTGCCATCACCATAATCCCGTGCACTTCTCTCCCCACCCCACCCCCCCCGTTAAGAAATTTTAGATTTTAAAGACTCTCTACATTTTATAGGCCTAATAAGTAGTTTAGAAATTTTTCTTAGGCTGAGTATGAAATGGACCTTTTTGTTAGGCTAGAAAACACAGGGAAATAGAATTTTCTTTCTATGAACAGATCAGAATAGTATTTTAAGGTGGACAAAAGGAGAGAGCAGTTCCCCTCACACCTGGAAGGCAGCAGAGTCATACCATGAACTTAGCATAGGAGCAGTGGCCCAGGCAGCTGCGTGCGGAGAAGCCACCAGGCTGCTGCCCTCACCTAGGTTCCCAGCACTGGGCCTTTTGCCTCTGCGTGACCAAAAGGTCTAGCTGGACATGGTGTTATAGTTGCGAATGCTGTTTCTAGGCTGTATTTGGTCCTCTAGTTTGTGCTGGGGCCAGGCAGGATTGCAAAATAAGACTAAATGCCTCTTCTTTAGGGTCTGGGTCAAATTTTAGGAGTGTTGCTTAAGGGCAAATTCCAGGCAGCTGAGGTAGAATGTCCCACATCCTTGCAGCAACAAAGGGAGACTATCCCCAATAAACCAGTCACAAAGAGGAAGAAGGGACATCTCTGCTGCTGGGTCAGAAGTTCCCACTAACAAAAGTACTCAGTGGATAACCATATGGTTTGGGGGCTTCAGACTAGGGGTCCGTTCTGCAGATGTCCTACAGTCTGGGGGTAGCAGTTTCTCTCAGGAACTAGTGTATCAAGTAATCTGTCTGGGAAAGCTGCCATGTGCAGGACACCCACTCATGGCCTCCTGATGAGCTCTGTGGAGAGCCAGCCTGTGTGACTCACTGGTTGTTGAGGAGAGATTTATGAACTGGGGTTACCATGTAGGGCAATGGAAACTGAAGCACTGGCCACACAGGGAAAGGCAGAGGAGGAAAGTGGAAGCACCTGTCATCCCAGTTACGGCAGCCTGCCCAGCTCAGAGGAACTTGCAGGGATACGTGCCCGAGCCATGATGACAGCCAACAGGTCTAATGGGTTCCTTTTGATTTAGATAGGGAATGCCCTCTGCAATTCCCTTCAGGTTTTGCTGTCCCTATATCCCCTCGTTTGGTTCCTTCCTGTCTTTATATTTCAGTAATTTAACCAGAATATATGCTAGAGATAAACATGCTTGATCAAATTTTTCTAGAATCTGATATCTTTGATCTTTAGATTTAATTTTTGCTTCTAACCTGTGGAGGCTTTGGTGAGTTACTACTTCTGAAATTTATTCAGCATTGGTTCATTACAACATCTATCTTGTTGATTCAGGCCATCTGCTTCAACCCTTTTTAATTTGATTATAACACATGCATAACCAAATTATTCATTTTATTCAATTATAATCTCAAGCTAATTTTAATATACAACATGATGTATGGCATGTCAGGTTGAGGTCATAAACATCTGAGTTTAAACACTGAGTGATTGGAAATCTTGGGATGTGATTTCATACCCGTGTGTCCTGCTTTCCTCATTTTAGGATAAGTCAGTATCTACCTTCATGGTTAAATAATAATATAAGCTATAGAATTCTCAAGTAGTTCTCAAGTAATTCTCAATACAAATTGTAGTTATATACTAGGAAAACTTTTAGCATTGAGAAAGCAATGGGGCTCAAAAATTATAAATACATAACAACTCTATTTGAAAGGGGAATAAGACAGTGAACACAGTAAGCAAGTCTGCTTTTTCCTGTCACTTACAAGGTTGCATTCCAGGAGGAGGGAGCTGGGAGGCAGGACCATCTGGTGCCCTCAGACCTCGTCCTTCCTTTGTTGCGCATCTTCCAGTTTCTGAGCTTGTGACTTGAGCTGTAAACTGCCCATGTCACCTATGTGAAATTAGCCAAGTATAAAAAACAGCTTTTGTGCCTACTCAGGGCCCAGATTTTATTTGGAGAGCTCTCCAATCTGGTGCCCATGGCTGTGAGAATCAATAAACCTGTACTTGCTTGACCTTAGCGTGCTGGTGGGTCCTTTCCAGCCAGCAGTTTTCCATAATGTATTAAGTTACATAGAAGAAGACTAGAAATAAATGCACAAGATGTTTGTTGGTTATTACTTGTGACTGGTGGTGAGATTAGGAGATATTTGCACTTCAAACACCTCTGATTTTTTTTTCACATGTCATAGAGAGTTTCCAAAATATGATTTTGAATATTTAATAGTTTATCAGAATACATTCCACTGGTGAATAACCTGAGTGAAATGTCACCGGAATTTGGCTCTCCTGGTTTACAGTTTAAAATTTGCTTCATTTCAGGAAAATGACTTTTTATTATTCTTTTTATTCACTTTCTATTTCACTTTTTGAGTTAGCTTTCAAAAAATCTCTATATTGGATTATTTTGACTACTATTTATGTCTAATCGTTTCTGTCCAAGTGTCAAATGGTTCTATTTTTTTATTTTTCTAATTTCTAAGTTTATGCTCTATGTTGTCATTTTCTGTTGATAATTACTATAGACTAGTTCTGCTTTTACTATTAGTTCATTTATATGGAAAGTCCTTCTTTCCATAATACTGTGTAATTTTTTGTCTCATTATGAACTCTTTTCTGAGTTCACTTGAAATGTTCTATAGCTCTAAATATCTGTGATAATTCCTTCCAATTTTTTCAGTATATTTTTTACTTGAACTGTTTGTTTTGTTTTTTCCTTTGCAGGCTGTTTCCCTTTCTTCTTATTCTTGTATTACATTTGTATTCTCTTATTTCCTAACACTCAGGTTTATGAAATTTTGCCTCCAATTTTTATTCATTTATTTTTTTGTCTGTAATGATGCTAGTAAGATGTCTAAGGCTAGTGCTTCAATTCCTCATTCCTTTTAGGGGAACTGAGGGAAGATGAGTTAGTTACAGGAAATTCAAAGGCTGATTTTCTGTTTCTGGACATGGAAAGTCTCTTTTCTTCCTAAGTGACACTCAGGCCTTGCCTGAATGTTTATCTGTCCGCAAATATTGCTCATTATAGTTAGCACTTAGCAGGACAGGTGCTTTCACTATGTGATTTTTGTTGTGTGTGGAAAGTGGAACATGAACGTAATTCCCACCTCTTTGCTGAGAGCAAAGCAATTAATCTCTGGTTGGCTGCTTTTGCACTCTCCTCGGGTGGCCACCTGAGCCACTTCCATGACATACAGTGGCAATTCTCGTTTATCATGCAAATCATCACTTTACCCTATTGCCTTCTGTTTTGAATATTTAAAGTTTCCTCATATTTTGATGCATCAAGAAACAAGTCAAATTTATAACCAATTCTTTCAAAATATGCTTCGAATGTCCATGATTCCTAAGGCAATGGAAGCAAAGCGAAAATAAATAGTGTTATCAAGGAAGGAAAGATATGATATCTTAACTATTATTTTTTAGAGTTTGGGCCAAGAAAAGAAATACTGAGTCTACTGAATTAGAATTGAAAAGTATGTTCTATCCAACTTAGAGATTGCATGCCTCCCCACAACTTAGTGGGCTCCCTAAGTGTGTTTGCTGCCTCCCTTGAGTCTTCTCTCTTAAATTCATGATCAAGTCCACATAAGGAGTCTGTTAGGGCACAGCTGAGGTACAAAGCCAGTACATAAATTTTTTTTTTAAAGATTTATTTTATTTGTACATACAGAACTGGGGTACAGGCCAGAGGCTCAGGGGTGGTGAGAGGATTCACCGGAGTCAGAGCGGGAAGCAGAACAGGCAGATCGACGAAGTACACTGCTGAGGGGAGCAGCGGGCAGGTCAGGAGAGGTCTGCCACGCCATGTGGTCACCCCTGGGGCAGGCGGGAATCGAACTCATGTGGAAGTGGCTTTAGCTTCTCAGTGCAATGCTTTAACCCGCTGTGCCACCAGGGAGGGCCCAGTACATAAATTTTATAGTGATTTCAGCCCTTTATATCCTGGCAACTATGCTCTAATATCCCAATCTCTATCTAATATTCTGATAACACTATTTTCACTTTGCTTCCATTGCCTTAGGAATCATGGACATTGAAGCATATTTTGAAGTAATTGGTTATAAATTTGACTTGGAAACACATTTTTCAGCACCAGATCCGAGCTGTTCCCTTTGAGAACATTCATCTGCATTATGGGGAAGCCATGCAACTGGACTTGGAGACTATTTTTGACAGGGTTGTGAGGAATATGGTGCGTGGTGTTTCCAGCTGAATCAATTTCTCTAACAGGTTCTGACCACAATCGGTTTTGAGATCACTATGTTGGGAGGGTATGTTTACAGCATTTCAGCCAACAGATACAGCACTAGCATGATTCAACTCCTACTGAAAGTGACCATTGACAGCAGGAACTACATCTTCGACACTGGGTTTGGAAGGTCTTACCAGGTGTGGCAGCCTCTGGAGTTAGTTTCTGGGAAGGATCAGCCTCAGGTGCCTTGTGTCTTTCGCCTGACAGAAGAGAATGGAATCTGGTACCTGGACCAAATCAGAAGAGAGCAGTGCATTCCAAACCAGGACTTTCTAAATTCTGACCACCTGGAAAAGAGGAAATACCGCAAAATCTACTTCTTTACTCTTGAACCTAGAACAATTACAGACTTTGAGTCTGCAAATGAATTCCTGCAAACACATGCAGCATCTGAGTTTTTTAAAGGACCCTCGATGGGGTGTATTGCTTACTGGGTTTTACTCTGGCTTATAGGAAATTCAGTTATAAGGACGATATGGATCTGGTAGAATTTAAGACACTGAATGAGCAAGAAATAAAAGAAGAGTTGAAAAGTGTATTTAATATTTCCTTGGAGGGAAAGTCTGTGCCTAAGCAAATTCATCAGTATTTTACTATTTAAAGAGCAAAAAAAGTTAACTATTCATTCAGACACTGAAACTCTTTAATATGGAAAATTTCAAACATTTTAAATCCAAGGAAACTACAAAAAGAGCTCCTATGTATTCCTAACCTAATTCACAATTCTTGATTATTTTAAAGAAAGTTAGAAAAGATTTAAAAAATAAGAATTCCATCATCAAAAACCTCAGCTGTCAATATTATATATAAATCAATGAAAACTTTCTTTAGAAAGTTTTAATTATATACCTTATCAAAATTAAAAATAATAAGGGCATTTTAAGGATGTCTTGGTGTTTTGTAGGACTCTTGCTCATTTATGTTAGAAAGCTTTCAACACTAAGCGTTAAATTAATATAAAAATCTTAGTGGCATCTTAATAAAACATGGAGAATATCACTCTATTAAACTCAACTAGCACTTAGTCTATGTCCATTTTTACAAAATACTGCAGGATAAAGTTTGTGATTGGAATAAATGAATGAATAAATGAATGTAAATGTATGAGTGGTTCAAGGGAGGTGAATACACCATCTCTCATTTCCTGGCCAATGCACCAGAAATGTTATGTGGCACAAAGGAAAGGGGGACACCCAGCTAACCAGAAACAATGGTGCTGCACTGGTGCTGACTCAGCAGATTCATATCCAAGGCTGAGCCATCTGTAGGAAGTCAGGGGCTTCTCCATACTTTCAGTATCTACAGGGTTCTGGGTGGGTTTTCATTGGCACATATGATGTGGCTACATACCAATAGGAGAATCTCAGAGTTACATACCAAGGGTGAGTAAAGGGTGTATAAAGGGTCAGTGTTATGGGAATTCCCAGAATCATGGGACTTCTAGTTTCCTCCTGCCTCATGGCAAGTCACAGTCAAACATGAAGCAAGATTTCTACCAGGGACTACTTTGCATACCAGGAACGGAAGGTCCCCAGACTGCTTATCCAGCTCATGTTGCTTCATCCCTCCCTTTGGTGCTCTGATTTTTTTTAGAGATTTATTTTATTATGCATACAGAACTGGGGTACAGGCCAGAGATGCGGGATTGAGAGGATTCACCAGAGACAGAGTGGGAAGCAGAACAGGCAGATCTATTGAAACACACTGCTGAGGGCAGCAGCGGGTGGCTCAGGAGAGGTCTACCACCCCATGTGGGTCACCTCCCTGGCTGGGGATTGAACTCATGCTGCAGTGGCTTCAGATAGCTTCATCGTGCTGTGTTTTAATCCATTGAGCCACCAGGGAGGACCCTGGTGCTTCGATTTCATGGAGAGCATCACCATCACTGTAGTCCTTCTGGCAACCTAGGGCTTGGTAAAGAAGGGGAACTGGAGGTATCCCATGGGAATAATACATTGGAGCAGCACTAAGGAGGAAGGAAAACCCAACCAGAGATAGCCCAAGACTGAGATGAAAACCTCTTTCCATGCCCCAGCCCTGAGTGGCCCTGACAGTTTTTCTAGCCATTCCTGTTCTTGTTGGGAATAATGGCAACGTTGGTCAAGATAAGAGGTCAGTAGGAGTGGAGGAAACACTGGAAGGACAAATGGGTGCAGTATGCTGGTGCCAACCAACTCTCTAGGGCTGCTTATTTGGCCTCTTTATCTGCCTATTTCCTTACTGATGATAGAACTGTCCTTCTGCTGTCCACAACAGTACATGACAACCTGTTTTGGGGCCCATACTTCCTCAAGGAATTTGAGGATCAGTTCCCCATATTTTAAAGTCTTCCCTCCTGCATGGATGAGCCTCTATCCTTGTATTAGACCCCGTGCACATGAAGAGTGGTGAATGCAAATGTTGAGATATCAGCCAGTAATCCTGCTACTAATTGAACAGCTCATGTCCTTCTTTTGGAGACCTTATATCCATCCTTTCACAATAATCTCAGTAGTCCTTGGGTTCCCCTTAAGTCCTTCCTGGTTGGGGCTGGCAAGCAAGAGGTCATCAGCATGCTGGAATAAGACACAACTGAGCTGGCTTGATGGAAACTGGGCTAGCTCTCCAACAAGGGCAGTACTCAAAGGCCTGGTGAATTTTGATCCTTGGGCAACCACCTTCATGTTAGTTATCCCCAAAAAATAGAACCCGGGATTTCCTACTGAAAGGCAAAGAGCGGCTGACTCTCAGGTGCTAGATGGATGCAGAAGTCATCCTTTAAATCCAGACAGGTGAAGAATTCAGCCTCAACCTGCAGGTCCTGGACTGGGAGGTAATCTCCAGTATTTGCCTTTTTTTTTTTTTTTTTACTGGCAGCAGGGTGTTTTCCAGCTGGACTGATGCTGTGTAAGAATCCCAAACCAGAAAGATCTTTCCCAGTGACACTGGATACACAGGTATGCTTGCTGTGGGTTAAAGTATTATTTTAGCCAAACAGGCTTAGCATCCAGTTTAAGGTGTACTTTAACAGGAAAAATGTTTCTAGCCAGCCCTGGTGAATTGTCCTCAGGACACATGCCAGGGATGTGGAAAGGAAGCTCAGGTAGGGTCTTTAGAGTCTGAGTTCAGAGTCGCACCTTTCTCTCTAAGTACTCGTAAATGAAGCTCTCATTGGGCCTACTGACATTCTGGCCTGTTCAGGATATCTGAGCTTGTAGTTTTCACAGTAAGTCACATCCCATGAGGGAAACTGGGCAATCAGGAGATATAGAAATTGATGGTTGACTTGTTGTCCACCCACATTACAAGTATGAGGCATTCGGAAAAGCCATTGGGCATGGTCTCCTGTGGCCCTCATGATGGTGGTTAGATGTGAGGACATGGGAGCGACAGGATCAGTAACCACAGCATGTTCTGTCCCTGTGTCCACCCAAAGCTTAATAGGATGGCCTCCAACACAAATTTACTGTGCGAGATCAATCATAGCCTGGGGCTTGTCTGAGTAAGGTGCTATGTGATTTGCCTAGCTGAGCAGACCCGAGGTGGAGACGCCTGGCATGTGAGTAACCTCTGTCCACTTTGGAGAGTCCTCTCCAGATCGTAACGTACTGGTTCCTGACTCTGTCTCAAGGGGAGCTGGAGAACTTCTCTATTTGAACCCTGCAATCTACAGTTGGTTCTACTACCTGGAGAATAAGAACTGGTGGCTCTGGAGAGTCAGGACTAGCAGGAGACAGCTGAGACTCAGATCCAGACAGAGTAAGTAGATGGGACTCTCTCAAGTGGATTCCTGGGAGGCTGGCAGAAGAGGCTACAAGGGGGACCTAAGGGGTGCTGAGGCATCCAGTGGCTGTTCTTCATTATCAGTGGATGAGGTTTCTCAAGCTTTTGTGGGGTCAGGGGTCTCGGAGAAGGCTTAAACTTTGCAACAAGGACCTTGCATTCAAATTCAAGAGGTTGCAGCTGAGATTGTAAAACAGATGTTTGCAACTTAACCAAAGTGGCTGGGAGAGGACGCTAATAAACCAGGAGACTGTATATGGAACTTGTTCAGGTGACCTGGGTTGCTGGTGACCACTCTGTAAACTTTTGACTAGCTAGCTATCTAGTGATCCCTCAGACAGCCACGCTACATCAAAACTTAACCCAATCAATCCACAGAGCATGTGCAATCTCTTGGGAGACAATCTAACATCACAGTAATCCCTGGGGCCCTTTTTAAAGTTATATTACATGCACCTGGATGGTGTCCATGCTTTCTTCTTTATTGCCCACCCTTCCACCCAATGGTCCAGGCCATTTTCTCTTGGGAATTTAGGTACCTCTTAGCAATGTTGAGACATCATAAGCCCACCTCAGGATCGCTGTGTGGGATCGCTCTAAGCCCTATGAGGTACACAGAACTGTGGAGTAGGACTTGATCCTCACACCACAGGTTACCAGCCATGAGTCATTCACATAAAGCACACTCTCACTGCCACTCACAAGCCGCCCTCTGGCCTTTAGGACACACGGTTTCCCCTTACTCAGTGACTTTATCACTCCCTATACCTTTGACGTTCTGGAGTCACTGTTTCAGCATACTTATGGCTACTGGGGTGACTCACGGAAGGTGATCAGGCATCCCTTCAGCCACTTGGGGCACAACCGCTGGACCCAAGCCTTTTTACCTTATCATTTTTACTCTCTCCCCCTTTTTTCTTAATTTTTTTTTTTTTAATGGAGGGTTCCTTAGCTGGTTCTTGGTCTGTAGGCTCCATTGAACCCAGGTGATGTCACAGAGCATCAGGGAAGTCAGTTTCCTCTGGTACATCTAGCAGGTGACCACTAGGAATGTCAGCCTCCCCAGCACCAATCTCCTGAGATCACAGGAGATGAATACACCATCTCTCATTTCCTGGCCAATGCACCAGAAATGTTATGTGGTGTGGAACACAGCTAAGCGGTCGCCATTGCAAGATGGCGCCGAGTTCCGCCCCGCGCCGCACACACATAAACAACCTCCACCCAAGGCCGGTTCTAGCCGGTTTCAGCCGGAGTCTGCCCAGCTACATGCCACTGCCAATCCAAATCTGCCGCGTAGACTGTGGGGGTTCACGCCCCTTGATAAGTGTATAAAAATGCTCGCCGTTTTCCTTTCGGGGCCCTTCACCCTCAGACCATCTTCAACCCAAGCAGCGCTTCAATAAACTGTGATAGAGGAAGAATCCTGAGTTCCGTGTTTCATTCCGCGCTGGACGCGGGTCGCAACAATGTGGCACAAAGGAAAGGGGACACCCAGCTAGCCAGAAGCAATGGTGCTGCACTGGTGCTGACTCAGCAGATTCATATCCAAGGCTGAGCCATGTAGGAAGTCGGGGGCTTCTCCACACTTTCAGTTTCTACAAGGTTCCGGGTGGGATTGCATTGGCAGCTGTACATGGTCAGATGTAACGTGGCTACATACCAAGAAGAGAATCTCACAGTTACATACCGAGGTTGAGTAAAGGGTGTGTCAAAGGGTCAGTGTTATGGGACCCCCCATACTACCTCATGGCAGTTCACAGTCAAACATGAAGCAAGATTCCTGTCAGGGACTACTTTGCATACCAGGAACTGAACAAAGATTGTTATTAAGATCCC